AAATATTCTGAGCTGCCTTCATGTAAAAGCAGCAGAGAGGGAAGTTTATTTTCCTATCCAGGCYTGGGATGGCTTGTTTGGGATGTCAGAGTCTGAAGCTCATGATCGTATGGAACACCTAGTTGTTGAGAAGAATTTTTGCTACACTCCTGATAAAAGACTGGGTTAACAGCTTGCACTCAAAACCTTTCACCAGAGTACAATGCATATACACTGCTTGTTAGTTTATCAAGGAACCCACAGAAAAGGTTATTGTTTCCCATGGGAAAAGAAGGGGAAAAAAAGAGGAAACTTTTCTCCAGAAATAATTTTTTTTTGAAAAATGCTCCTCTTTTCCAAGGTCAGAAAGTATTTTGTGAATTTGCTGTGGATCTGAAGTGACTCTTCCTCAGCAGCATGTCAGCATTCCTGCCTGACACACAKAATTTATTCATCAGCCTGGGATCTGCTCCARAGCTCAGCCAAGTCAATTTTTTATCGATTGGATCAGACTTTGGAGAGCACTCCCTGAGGARCAGCTGTTAGGACAGCTTAGCCACACCCTCGGATGGAGCCATCCAGGAGGGAAAAACTGTGGAGTGAAAAAAATAAAAAGGGTTGAGCAAAAGACAGTTTCTGACTGCARCTTTTCCTGCTGCAATGTAAATATTGATTTTGCAGCCAGCCTGAACAGAAACGTCCCCCTGGGCCTCCTGCTGTGCTACAGACACAGCCAATGGTTTTATATTTTTAATAGGTTGTCGTTTACTCTCACAGCTCCTGCAGGGATGGGTTTACACCTATATTTAAATAACCAGGTACCATTTTGGGTGAGATTACTACAAAGCCCAAACTAATTCTGATATTTTTTTTAAAGGGTTATAAGGTTTCWGGCTTCATTTTAAAAAGGAAACACTAAGATTAATTTCAGAAAGGTAGTTTAAGATACCTGAAAACATCCCTGGTTTGCTTACAATAAGTTTTGGTTTGAAACGATTTTAACAGTTTTCCTTTACCTTGTGTGATTTAATGTTTTAATGGCGATATTTAATGTCTTTAATGCCTCTATTTAAAATCTTTAATGTCTCTATTTAATGTCTTAAATTCAAC